GAGTAAAGTGAATTTCTCAAAGTTTATTAGCTGATGGAGACAAGATTCAAATTTGGCACTGTTTACATAAAAATTCAGGGCCTCTTTATAGAGCCCTATCTTGCTTCTCTCTAGTGTCTGGCTAGTTACCCATTCAAGCCATCAAAGGAATAGGGAGCCTCATTGTTCACAGAGTTCCAGGTAATACATGTACTGGGTACGTTTGTATACCCATATGGTCTACTCAATGTAGGTACTGCCTATATTGGCACTGGGTTATATTCATCCATTCAACAAAGAGTTGCTAAGCACCCACTATATACAAACATGATTTCTGTCCCTCAGAAGTTCAGAGTCTGATGGGAAAATTATTAAACAAATACAGAGTTATCAATTGTGATGAATGACATGAATGAAAGAGCATAGGTTATCATGGAAGAGTATCACAATCATGGAAGAGTATCACAAGAGAGATGCATGGTCCTTTAGGTATCTGGACGGTAAGGGACAGCCTGAAGCTGCAGAAGGAGGCAGTGGTTAGATCATGAGGTGTCTGTAAGCTATATGAGTGTCTGGGATTTTGTTCTAATTATAATGGGACTACAATAAAGAGAAGTGGAGAAGGGATCTGATTCAGAAATTAGAAAACAATCTCTGTGGCTACAGGTGGAGAAGAAAGCACAAAGCTCTGAGTTTGATCCCCAGTGAGCACGCACGCGCGCGCGCGCACACACACACACACACACACACACTCACACTCACACACACTTCAACAAATACTGTTGAATAAGCCTGGTGTGTACATGTTTTAGTTCTAACCCTCACAAACACCTTTTGGAGGTGAACAGTTGTCTGTATATTTCTGTTTACAGAAGACGACACTGGGATAGAAGGAGTAAAGTGAATTTCTCAAAGTTTATTAGCTGATGGAGACAAGATTCAAATTTGGCACTGCTTACATAAAAATTCAGGGGCTCTTTATAGAGCCCTATCTTGCCTCTCTAGTGTCTGGCTAGTTACCCATTCAAGCCATCAAAGGAACAGGGAGCCTCATTGTTCACAGAGTTCCAGGTAATACATGTACTGGGTACGTTTGTATACCCATTTTCTCAAAGTTTATTAGCTGATGGAGACAAGATTCAAATTTGGCACTGCTTACATAAAAATTCAGGGGCTCTTTATAGAGCCCTATCTTGCCTCTCTAGTGTCTGGCTAGTTACCCATTCAAGCCATCAAAGGAACAGGGAGCCTCATTGTTCACAGAGTTCCAGGTAATACATGTACTGGGTACGTTTGTATACCCATATGGTCTACTCAATGTAGGTACTGCCTATATTGGCACTGGGTTATATTCATCCATTCAACAAAGAGTTGCTAAGCACCCACTATATACAAACATGATTTCTGTCCCTCAGAAGTTCAGAGTCTGATGGGAAAATTATTAAACAAATACAGAGTTATCAATTGTGATGAATGACATGAATGAAAGAGCATAGGTTATCATGGAAGAGTATCACAATCATGGAAGAGTATCACAAGAGAGATGCATGGTCCTTTAGGTATCTGGACAGTAAGGGACAGCCTGAAGCTGGAGAAGGAGGCAGTGGTTAGATCATGAGGTGTCTGCAAGCTATATGAGTGTCTGGGATTTTGTTCTAATTATAACAGGACTACAATAAACAGAAGTGGAGAAGGGATCTGATTCAGAAATTAGAAAACAATCTCTGTGGCTACAGGTGGAGAAGGGTCTGCAGAGAGAAAGGGAGAAACAGAGAGAGAGACTAAGAGATAATATACCACCCATGTGCCAAATGCTGTTGGCCTGCACGTGAGTGGAGGCCATGGGTTAGACATGGGCAGACACAGAATGTTTTGGAGTTGAACGGTGAGAACTTTGTGACTGCTTGGATGTAGTAAAGGGTGAGAGGGGAAAAGAGAGCCAAGGAGGGTCCCAGAGTGCTGGCTTAAGAAATTGGGTAGACTGCCTTGTAAACGCAAGGTCCCGAGTTTGATCCCCGGTACCAAAAAATATAAATAAATAAATAGGGCCGGGGATTTGGCTCAGTGGTTGCGCCACCTGCCTTGCAAGTGCAAGGGCCCAAGTTCGATCCCTGGTACCAAACAACAACAACAACAACAACAACAAACAAAGAAACAAACAAAATAAATAAATAAAATAAATTGTATGGATGATGGTACCTTTAACTGAAATGGGAAACTACAAGAAAGGTCAAGGTGGGGGAGGAACAAGAACTTAGTTTGATGGACATGTTGACAAGATGGGCCATTGCCAGGCTGGGTTCTAAAAGCAGCAAGTAAGGGACAGCCTGAAGCTGGAGAAGGAGGCAGTGGTTAGATCATGAGGTGTCTGCAAGCTATATGAGTGTCTGGGATTTTGTTCTAATTATAACAGGACTACAATAAACAGAAGTGGAGAAGGGATCTGATTCAGAAATTAGAAAACAATCTCTGTGGCTACAGGTGGAGAAGGGTCTGCAGGAGAGAAAGGAGAAACAGAGAGAGAGACTAAGAGATAATATACCACCCATGTGCCAAATGCTGTTGGCCTGCACGTGAGTGGAGGCCATGGGTTAGACATGGGCAGACACAGAATGTTTTGGAGTTGAATGGTGAGAACTTTGTGACTGCTTGGATGTAGTAAAGGGTGAGAGGGGAAAAGAGAGCCAAGGAGGGTCCCAGAGTGCTGGCTTAAGAAATTGGGTAGACTGCCTTGTAAACGCAAGGTCCCGAGTTTGATCCCCGGTACCAAAAAATATAAATAAATAAATAGGGCCGGGGATTTGGCTCAGTGGTTGCGCCACCTGCCTTGCAAGTGCAAGGGCCCAAGTTCGATCCCTGGTACCAAACAACAACAACAACAACAACAAACAACAAAGAAACAAACAAAATAAATAAATAAAATAAATTGTGTGGATGATGGTACCTTTAACTGAAATGGGAAACTACAAGAAAGGTCAAGGTGGGGGAGGAACAAGAACTTAGTTTGATGGACATGTTGACAAGATGGGCCATTGCCAGGCTGGGTTCTAAAAGCAGCTCCAAGTTGTTGGCCCTTCTCTTACCTGGGTAAGGGATCCGGCCATAGGTGACAATCTCCATCAGGAGGATGCCAAAGGACCAGACATCAGACTTGATGGTGAAGGAGCCAAAGTTGATGGCTTCAGGAGCTGTCCACTTGATGGGGAACTTGGCCCCTACAGGGTTGAACAGGACAAGGTGAGGGGAGTCTGGGGAGCAGTCAGAGTGGGCTCTCTGCTAGAGTGAAGGAACAGTGTAAGACGATGATTGCCCTGCAGTGGGGCCACTCTGTGGATGCAAGGGGCATCCATGCTGTAGACAGATGGCTAAAGTGGGGAGAGATCACTCTGGGGGGCTACCTCACTGAGTCATGAACTATAATTGGAGAAGTGGAGTCCTAGAGGTCACAGACTCTTTAGGGACAGAAAGACTTCAGGGAGTATCAGTTAGTGCCTCAGTCACTTTATCTTGGCAATAAGGGAAGGGAGGACTTCAGCCTCTGAGGCTTCCGCCAGTCACTGGATGTCTCCTTCCCTCCTTCTACTGAGTCTAGGGTAGGTTTGTTAGCCTTTTATTAGTACTTATCCTAATTATATTACAATTGGTGAACATGGCCTGTAAGACATACAGATGCTCCTCAATTTATGATGGGATTACATTCCGATAAACCCATAATAAATAGAAAATACCATAAATCAAATGCACTAAACTAAGCATAATGGTGTATACTTGTAATCTCAACTTCTCAGGAGGCTGAGACAAGAGGATCACAGGTTTGAGGCCAGCCTATGCTACTTAGTGCCTGCCTCAAAATAAAAAATAAAAGGGCCAGGGATGTAGCTCAGTGGTAGAATGCTCACCTACCATGTGTGAGGCCCTGAGTTCAATCTGCAATATTGGGGTGGGGGGAGCATTGCATTCACCTAACCTACCAAATGGCCTAGCTTAGCAAAACAACACAACACACTGAAGTATTGTGATTGTACGGCCAACTACACTGCTACTGCCCAGCGAGAAAGTAACATGCGTATTACTAGGCTGGAGATGAGATCAAATTTCAAAATTGGAAGTGTAGGTTCTCCCCAATGTGATTGCTTTCATAAAGTGGAAAAACCCTAAATTGAGCTATCATAAGTTGGGGGTCATCTGTTGTTCTTTGGAATTTGGCAAGACCTGCTTTATGGCTGGTATAGAATTGGAAATGTTCTCTGCTTATATATATAGATAATATATATACTATCTATATAGATAATATATAGATAATATATATACTATCTATATAGATAATATATAGATTA